ACGCAAAAATTGTTGCCCATTATGATAAAGTTTCCTTGCTGGAATTTTTTTGAGGTTGCCCGATCAGAGCCAAAAGTTTTTCCCAATTGGGCTCTAATTTTGGCCCAATTGGGGCCCAATTAGCGATTTGCCCAATCTACCGAAGATTTCCCCAACCAGTGCTCACAATTTGCTCAAAGTGAACATGCATACGCAATTAAAACATTTTTATCGATAAATCACACATACACACATCAAAATTCAAAAAAGGCAACATCAAATGTGTATATATGGAATCAGGGAAAGCTAAATCGTGGACATTCTTAATCGAATATACTCCATCTCTTGAGCAGAAAAAAGGCATTTTCCATAAAATCCGTTCCCTGGTTATGTGACTTTGCGTGAAAATAATACGACTTGCCTTTTTTTCCGTTTTGGTTTTTTATGAATTTAAAAAATAAAAAAATTTAATATTTTAGGCAAAAAATATTTTTTTTCTTCATACATTTATTTTTACCGGCAAAACTGTTGATTATATAGAAAAACGTTATATGAACAGATTAAAGGAATTGAAATTTTTAATTTATTATTTTTAAATTTGTTTGAGCAAAATCGGACTAGTGGTTCTCGAGTTATGTCAAAAAAAAGACCACCAAAGGTGACGATTTCCCCTATATGATAGTTACTAACTTCAAATCGATATATCTCGATTCCTAGACGTGACCCAGCGAAACGCCGGGACACGTATGTATAACTTCTTTTTTACCGATATAACTTTCCCCGGTAGTTTGAACCCTTCCCGATCACTGATCCCTACCATTTGTCTCACAGTGTTATTAATCATTATTTAACAGGTCTGTTTCAGACCGACTACCCAACACCAGTGTCAGTGCGGCACGGAAACTTGTCCTTGCCTACTGGATCGTAATTACTTAAATACAGAGAAGCGAAGGCAGTGCGGTTCTGGAACTCGTCCTTTCAGACCGCCTGCTCAGCACGTTGTCCAGCGATCCTGCCGCTCGGAATCTTGTCCATTCATACAGCCGCAACAACTGCAATAAATATGTGTGTAAAAAAATACAAATTTTCTAGTCATTGCCGCAGAAATTTAAAATTTAATGGTAGTTTGTAAGATTTGAAAACTTATTTTTAGTTTCGAATGAAAGATTCAATAAATAAATACATATTATACAAAAACAAAAAAAAAATCATTAAGTTTAATAAAATAGTACATACTTGAGACTTATAAATAGTATAGTCGCATCTAATCGGTCCGGTGATTTGTGCTAAACTGTCCAGTACGGTCTTTTTGTCGGTGCGTTAATCCCGTTATTCTTTTCGGCGTTGGTTCAGTTTTCGTTCAGTGGCAGGGTCGCATTCCCACATACATTAGTTCGACGAACGAAAGAAAAGCCAACTTTGCGCTTGTGCTAAATCTACCACATTGCCTTAAAGGTCAAAATTTCTATGTTACATTGTGGACTGGTTTATAAAGAGTATTTTGAATTTATGTGTGATAAGGTTTCACGATTTTTTTTTTTTTGTATTTTTGTCGTCGTAATTAGTCACTTTGTCCTTATGTGCGACACAGCAAATAAAAGGTACACCCCTTAAATTTAGCGAAGTGGAATTACGACTTCGACAATATTCGATATCTCGATTCTATCGAATATGGAGCATGGTGTCAAGCATAGAGGGGTTCTGTCACCTTTGGTTTTTTTGCTAGAGCTTCTTAAATATTGAAAAAAAAAACGCAGCTTTTTGACACATTTACCTAATTTTTCTGAAAATCTGGGCTGATGGAAACTTTGTACCTACGGACTTGCAATCAACACAAAAAAGTCTATCAAAAACAGCTTTAACATTTGCCGCACCACATTTTTTTTACAAATTTTTGTTGGCCTGTGTTATATAATTCTCGATAATTCCGTACCTACTCGATTAATATTTCCTCCATATAAAACTTGCAATAGAACAACGTTAGCTCGTCAGCGAAACACAGAAAATCGTTGTCGGCTTATATAAAAAACTCGGAACGAACACTGAAGTAGCACTGACGATGAAAAGCGGAACTGTGCAGGACATGTCTGAAGAACTCCATTTGAGACTGAGGCAACGGTATTTTATTTTTCACTGACACTGATGTGTGTGGAAATACCTTAATGCTGAAGAATGTCAGATTATTCGATGCAAGGTTCAGACCGCCAAATGGAATTAGTTTGGCGAATTGTAAAGACTTGTTTAGTAACCCTCGTATACACTATGCTAATTTAAATAGAGTCAAAATGTGGTCATGGTCACTTCAAGTGTCAAATCCGGTATAATAAACTAAATTTAACATTTTTATGCAGTTAAAAAAAGTTAAAGCACAGTTTTGCAAAAATTTCTTAACACATCAATAATGGAAATCATACCTTTTTTATTTCATTCTAGGGGGCGGTTTATCCAACAATAAGAATATATGTTTAGAAACCTTTGACGATAAGACACAAGCAGTAGCCAACAACCGTACGGGCGGCGATGCGCAATTAGTTACTATACCGTTTTCACTTCATTGCAACAATGTATATCAAAATAGCGATTCGACGTACGTAAATGCAGAAAATACCAGCAAAGGTTTCAGCTCACTTCCACGCCATTTTAAAAATACTCGCGATACATCTGTAGAACGAACATTAAGAGATGTAACGCCCGGCATTGTTGAGAAAATTTATTTAAATACGTCTGTATTGCCTGATTTAAAGGAAAATACCCTAGACATCTTACATCCACCATCGCGAAAAGTGCCCGAACATTTAATACTACTTAACTCACCTTTATTGGAATCTTTCACACTTAGTGTTCAACCATCCCCTTCGCCGAGCACCTCATCTGGTCCTTATATTCCCATAAGCGAATGCTTCACAGGAGCGCCTAAATACGTAAGTATAATTTAAAAATTGCCTTAACCCGTTTCATCCCAGAACAACAATTTTAAATTTTTTTATTAAAACGTAGTAGAAGAGCTAGTTTAGGCCTAAAACTATGACAAAGTGATACAAAAATGTGTTCTATTGGTTTTACTAGGATGGGCCGTTGCGAAAACCTTGCCTGAGGTAATGTACTCATAAAGTTTGAAAAACACTTATATTTTATTTATAAAAATACGAAATTTCTTTTATGTTAAATGAATAATTAAATTAATTCAATATGTAACAAGTAATAAATTTGCATCTTGTTTTGTGATATTTTTCAAAATATGTGGCATTTAATGCAAGATTGCATCTTTGACATTAATAAACGGTCTGTGAACAGATACATATATGTACGTCAGGTCTCTTCACTCACCTTAAAACACAATTGAAAAGTGAATTAATGTCAGTGACATTAATACACAATCCAAAAGTGAAATAATGTCAATTCACTCACCGTCTAAAAGTGAAGTATGTAATGTTATAAAAATAATTTTTGTTATTTAGACTTAATTCGCAAAATGTGTGTTAATTTCATCGAAAATATTAATCACCAGGGAACGGATTTTTAGGACCTAAAAACCTATAAAAAAGGCAAAGAACGAAATAGGCTGGAAAAGGCAAAATAAAATAGCGAAAAAGGCAGGAAAAGGCAATAGGTATTGCAAAAAAGGCAAAAAAAGGCAAAACAAAATAGCGAAAAAGGCAGGAAAAGGCACTAGGTATTGCAAAATAAAATTATAGTTTAAAAAACTAAAACCTCCCTATTATAATTGCCATTCGTACTGTCAACAGGTATGTAACTTGAGAATAGAAATCGCTGCATCTTTTAGGCGCATCAATATTACATAGTTACATCCCGAGCTAATAAAAGGAAGGTAAAAAGCAAAATAAGGCACTGAAAAAATACAGAAAATACGAAGAACAATGAAAAAATACATTTGTTTTAGAAATGTTTATATTACAAGTAAAAAGAGAAAAACTATGAACTAGTTTCATTATATGAAAAATTTGTACTTTGAATCTTTGACTATTTTATCCTTTCGAGTTTCTAACTCATAAAACTTTAATCTGTATAGTTGTAGTAACATTGAACCACAAGATGCATTTTGAAGTTTTCTGGCAGCATTTTCATTCGATTTTCGCGAAGAAAAGCCTTGAATGTACTAAATGTGCGCTCGACGTAAGTTGATACAAGTGGAGCCCAATTTAAATATAGAACGTTTGAAACGTTCATATTATCAGGAATAAGGGCGTTTTCCTCGCCCTTTACAATTTTATCTACACCCGTTATTGTCTCCAAGCCTACGTTAGCTGAGAAAACGGCTTTGAATTCTTCTAACACCCATTTGGCAAGAGGTCCCTGCGCTTCTATAAGCCGCATAGGCATGTGTATAGTTTTTTAATCTTAAAAAAAAATTGGTAATGCTATAATCACTTTTCTAAAGGTAGAAAAGGCAAAAAAAGGCAAATATCTTAAAAAAGGCAAAAAAAGGCAAATATCTTGAAAATGGCAAAAAAAAGGCCACATCAAATGTGTATATATAGAATCAGGGAAAGCTTAATCGTGGACATTCTTAATCGAATATACTCTATCTCTTTAGCAGAAAAAAGGCAATTTCCATAAAATCCGTTCCCTGTTAATCACCCTCCAAACCTATAAAAATAATTTTTGTTATTTAGACTTAATTCACAAAATGTAAATGTGTTAATTTTATCGAAAATATTAATCACCCTCCAAACCTACATCTAAAAACAAAGACGTTAATACGTCAATTAATGGCAACAATAATAATAAGCACGTGGGGAAATTTCTTTCTTGTTTAAATTTAAGTATAAATTACTCAACAATTCTACAATTTGATAATGCTACACCTAATTGACTATTATATTAGTTATTACCAAATACGAAAAATATATGAAAAAAATTTGATTTATTTCTTCTGTCACGGGTGGGACAAAAAAAAAGAACTTGCTTTTTGGAACAGATATATTTTACTGAAACTCGGCGAATTTATTTCACTTTTCTGTGTGAACTTGATGTCTTATAATAAAACAAAGAACTAGGAACACAAACAAACCAAAAACTACAAACAAATGATGGTTTTATTATACAAAAGTTACGGAATTCCTCTGTCACGGGTGGGACAACGTTTGTCACGTTAAAAGCTAACATCCGCGGATGCTGATGCGAATGCGGATGTCAAGTATTTTGAAGAAATAATTTAGGTGAGTAAATTAGGTGATTTAATACTAATAATAATAGATTGGCGCTTACACATATGTTAGCGTTTGGCCGAGCTGTCGGCTGCTGTGGTGTAGTGGTAAGCAGTGCGCGCTTCAACTCCGCAACGCCTGGGTTCAAGCCCTGGTCAAAGCGACATCGCAAAAAAATGTAGAAAAGAGGTTTTTTCTTAACAGCGGTCGTCCCTCGGCAGGCAGTTGCAAACCTCCGAGTGTATTTCTGCCATGAAAAAAAGCTTCTCATACAAATTCAATCGCCGTTCGGAGTCGCGCACACCACAGATTGGAGGAGAAGCTCGGCCAAGTTAGGTGATTTAGGTAAATAAAAAATGGAAAGGTTAGAAATTTTTATATATCTTTTGCTTGAATTTAAAAATTGGAACATTTGGGAGATTCACAACGGCGTCGTAAGTATTGTATTGTTGTATGTCGTAAACTTTAAAAGCATAAATAAATGTTTAGAGAACTTGAAACTACTACCAACTATTTTTTAACACTGTGGAAATTCAAAATATGACTTTGATGGTACTTTGCGAACCTGCTTAATATATTTTTAAGGCGTTTAAAGTTTACAACATACAACAATATGACACTTACGACAACGTTGTGAATACCCCAATTGTATTTAATAAAAACTTTTTATTAAACAGTAATATTGTTGCCGTTTCGGGTTACAGTCTGTTTCTTAAAGGGTCGTAAATCAAATCTGCGCCACTAAATAACTACTCGCTCGAGGCGACAAACTTGAAAAACTTGAAGCTTGACAAAATTGTAAATTCTTTTCGATTGACGCTGCACCAGTTGAGAGGACTTTCATTTATATTAAGTTTTTTATTGCGGTGCAATAATTCCCATTTGAGAAATGCATCGGGACTGCAAATATCAGATGTATCCTCCTGACTTTCATCTTCACAATTTAGCATCGTTATTTAAACACTGCTGTTTTCCTAAAATTCTTCATTCTCTTTCTTTTGGTTCTTTCTGAATTTGGAGAGCCTGTAACGTCATCAGCGTTTTTCGATTTAGTTTTTGTAATTCATTTTTAATCCTTTCTTCTGTGACTGGCCAGATATACGTTTTATCAATGCACTTGCACAATATTCCAGGGACTGAAAGTAACAATTATTTTTTTACGAGTTAAACTTGACCAAATATATTTTATTCCGAAATAAAAGTCCTTTCCGGATAATAAACAAACCACTTATCCAAATTAAACAAATTTCGTATCATATGAAAGAGGACTGAAATAGCTTTTAAACAGAAATAACGAACGAATGTGACCACCTCTATTTATATTTTTGTAATAATTTATGTAACGCAAAAGAAATTCATATACCTGACCCAAGGTTTGTTCTATTAACATTAACATATTTTATTGAAATATTGTTCTATGGGTGGCTTTTCTCGTTTAGACATATCAGTTTTAAAGCTATTTATGTCCTCTTTCATTTGATACCAAACTTGTTTAATTTGGATAAGCGGTTTGTTTATTATCCGGAAAGGAATTTTATTTCGGAATAAAAAAAATATTTGGCCAAGTCTAACTCATAATAAATAATATAAAAAAAACTTTTTAATATACAACGCTTTTATAAATGGACTAAAAAGTAGAAAATAATATTTCTCAGTCCCATAGAATTTGTTT